GTGGGTGTGGCTGGGGTGTGGGTGGGTGGGTGTGGGTGTGGGTGGGGTGTGGGTGTTGGTAGGGATGTGGGTGTTGGTAGGGATGTGGGTGTGGGGTGTTGGTGTGTGGGTGTGGGTGTGGGTGTGGGTGTGGGTGTGGGTGGTATGGGTGTGGGTGTGGGTGGTGTGGGTGTGGGTGTCCAGTGTGGGTACTTAAATCATGAAAAAAGAATACCCACACCCACACCCACACCCTTTAATTGCTCCTGCGACATATACATTGAGATAAATCTTAAGATTGTTTACAAAATTAAACGGTGGAACATTTGCTTACTCAATGCCGATGAGTCTTTCTTTCTCTTGTTAATTTAATACAATGAACTATGATTAGATTGGAACAGTAATCATAGTTCGTTGTATTAACAAAAAAAATCTTTCTTCCACTGTTCACAGCCTGTTGTTTGGGTCTTCTTTAACTGACACAGAGAAATTCTCCTTGTTGAGGATGCAGTTATTCTGAGAAAGTCTTTTATACCATACGTATCCTGACGGATATGTATGGGTTACCTTATCAGTGGGTGTGATCCCGTTTGTGTTTTCGATAAACTCAGTTTCTCTGTACACACGCAGATAGAGAAAGAAGAAATATTCTTTCTATTCAAATTATTTTCTTTTTAATTTTATTCTTTTATCAAAAACAAAAAAAAACAAACGCCACAGAAAAGATCTTCTCAGTTCATTTCATCGTCAAAAAAACAATGTCATTTTGAATCGATTTCAAATTTTTGTACTCGATGATTCCCCCAATCGACGACATACAGATGACCTTGTCGATCAAAGGATAAATCTCTGGGAGCTTTGACCTGATTTGGTTGTTCTCCGTGTCCATTTCCACCCACAATAATACAACCTTTTTTCGATCGTTTTGACCAACGCATGATTTGATTATTCACTGAGTCAGCCACATAGACATGACCCAATTGATCAACAATCAATCCATAGGGAAAAGATAATTGCTTCACACCATCCCCCATATCTTGTCTACCAGCAACAAGAATACCTTCTTTTGCATCTTTCATCCATTTCATCACGCGATGATTGATAAGATCTGACACATAAACTGAATGATCTTGATCAACAAAGATATAGGTAGGATGATTAAGTTGATTGAGATGATTTCCTTTTCCATTTCCACCTGCTACTATTGTCCCATTTGTATCTCCTATTTCCCATCGTCTTACTTGATTATTCTCTCTGTCAGAAACATAAAGACTTCCATTATTATCCATTGTTAGACCTTCACAATAAATGTTAGAAATGATTGTTTGTCCATTTGTACCATCTTGACGAGACCATTGTACGACTCGTCTGTTATCTTGATCACAAATGATGAGGGAATCATTTTTTTTATCAACAATTACATCTATTGGCCCATTCAATTGATCCGTTCCATTTCCTCTTCCATTTCCGCCTGCAACCACTTCACCGTTCTTGGCACCATATTTCCATTCAACAATACGATCATTTAACCAATCAGCAATATAAATACTTTGATTATCATCATCAACATAGATACTCGAAGGAAGAGAGAGTTGATTTGATAGATTGCCAGGTCCATTTCCTCCAGCAATGATAATTGCATTTTGTTTCCACTTGGGACGACAACGAGGAACTGATCTCAGAAAAAAAGAAAGAGCGAATTGAAATGAAAAAATAATTTAAATAAAATCTCTGTGAAAATGAAAAGTAATGAAAATAAAAGTAAAACTTGTTTGCTGAAATAGAAGAAAAGAGATGAAGAATTAATTATTTGGAAAAGAAAATCAAATCTTCAAATGATTTTGATCAAATGATTTTGTTTTGTTCTATGAAGTTGAAAATATTCTTCTTCTTCTTCTTCTTCATATTAAAATAGAAGATAAATCATTAGAAAATCTCTCTTTCATTTTGTCTTAAAGAGAAATATATGGAAAAGACATGCTGTATTAACTTGATTTTCTAAAATTTGTTCAATTTTGCTTTGTTTCTCTTTGAATATTTTTTTTCCTCAAAAAAAGAAAAAAAGAAAATTTTCTTGATTTTGGTTGTTTGACAATGAATTTATTTATTTTTGTTTGAAATCAAATCTGAAGAATCTGAATGGAAAAAGTTCGATCAAGATGAAAGCATTTTCTCGATTTGAAAGAATTTCATAGGAGATGAAATGAAAAATCAATGAGATATTTTAGAATATGTTTGTTTTCAATATTTTGTCATGAATTTGACAGAAATGATTTGAGAAAAAAACAAAGATTGTTTTATGAATTTTATTTCAACTCTTTTGTCATCGTAGAAAAATCTTTCTCAAATCGAACAAAAAAAAATAATAACTGAAATGAATCTTCAAAGAAACAAATTTTGATTTCCTTTTTCATATTTTTGGGGTGTGGGGGTGGGTGGGTGTGTGTGGGGGTGGGTGTGGGTGTGGGTGTGGGTGTGGGTGCGGGTGTGGGTGCGGGTGTGGGATGGGTGTGGGTGTGTGTGTGGGTGTGGGTATGAGTGTGGATCTGGGGTGCGGGTCTGAGTGTGACTGTGAGACCGCGAAGATGCCATCCACACCCACACCCACACCCACACCGACACCCACACCCCACACCCACACCCCACAACCACACCCCACCCACACCCACACCCTTTCGGGTGTGTAACTTGTGCTCCTATATAGAAAGAATACCTGTATTGTACCAGATATAGAGGAGCTATGAGCACTTTTAGGAGGAAAATCTCTCATGTTGCTCAACCTTACTTAAACAGTAATGATAGTTGTGAATGAGTTGTTTACGGTAAAGTTAGTTTTACAAATTGCTTACACTGTTTTGTTAATGACTTAAATATCACAATCCCAACAACAATAACAAGAAGAAAGACACATCCTAATACGAGTAGTGGTAAGCATTTGTTTCGTTTTCCAGTTTGTAGATCACGCCGAGTGAAATTTCTCCATTTATGCTGCGATACCTTTTCTAGAACAGACTAAAGCCATATGTATTGTCTAAAATTAAAAGATATATTCTTTTTGTCGATATCGATTACTTGCATAGTTGTAAGCAAATATTTTTCTTATGAAATTATTTTGAAACTATAGCCCTATCAATTAAAAGTAGAACTTAAATTTTGATTTTTTTTTTGAAAAATTTAGTATCTATTGTTTTTCATCCTGTATTTGATAGACATGGTATTTATATATTATTGATGGGTTATTGTATAGTACAGCCTACGTAGAACTTGTACTATTGATATCGGTTCATGAACAATGAAAAGAAAAGAAATAAAACAAAATATATAAAAATTGGTTACATTTTCAAACATCATATTAATTTGATTTTTACCTGTTCATTTTTCATTGCAAATTGGATGAATGTATGGCTAATATAAAGAGTATGTCATATACTACTATACTAGAGTATGAAAGCAATTAACTTCAATCTTTTGTCATAAAATATTGAAAAAGAAAATAATTGAATGGTGAGGGGAAGAAAGTTTCAGCTTGTCCTATTAAAGTCCTTTTCTCCTCAGAAAGAAAGCTGGCTATTCATAAAAAGTTGAGTTTTGCAATATTCATATAGTTAGATAGAACAGAAAAGCACTACAGAATGGTATGAAAAGGCTTCAAAAGTAGGGATGTCAAACTTCTCGTTACGTGGCAAGTGGAAGTCAAAGTAACGAGAAGTGTGATACCCATTTTAGGAGACTCCAGTAGAACAGGCTCTAATTGTCTTCCCATAATCACTCGATTATTTTCTTTTTCAATATTTTATGACAAAAGATTGAAGTTAATTGCTTTCATACTCTAGTATAGTAGTATATGACATACTCTTTATATTAGTCATACAATCATCCAATTTGCAATGAAAAATGAACAAGTAAAAATCAAATTAATATGATGTTTGAAAATGTAACCAATTTTTATATATTTTGTTTTATTTCTTTTCTTTTCATTGTTAATGAACCGATATCAATAGTACAAGTTATACGTGGGCTGTACTATACAATAACCCATCAATAATATATAAATACCATGTCTATCAAATACAGGATGAAAAACAATAGATACTAAATTTTTCAAAAAAAAAAATCAAAATCTAAGTTCTACTTTTAATTGATGGGACTATAGTACTTCCCGTATCATGGAAAATTCAGACAGCGCTTGAACAATCATGAAAAACTGTGGGTTGTGGTTTGCTCGCTATGTAGGTTACTCATCAGTTCTGGAGATTAGATTGCGATAAAACTAGGTCAGTCTGACCAAATGTAACGCAGAAACATTTTTTTAAACAAATTACCTCAATTATTTCATGATTACCAAGATATAACCTGAATATTTGACCATAGATGATGTTCACTTATTTCCATGTCCTGTAAAACTTGTGGCTCATTCGTTTATCTCTAATTATCACATCTTAAGTTAGAGGTTGTGACGCATGGGCAAAAACTGGAAAAAGCTCACGTAGAGCTTACATAGAGTATTATGTACCATGACGTTCTGAAGTAAAGTTGCTGGACGGATCATGCTAACAGAGAAAATTTACAGTAATCGTTCCACTATCGACTAACATACAGGGTGGGCCAAGAGTCACTTTACCGAAAAAAAAACTGAATATCTCCATCACGACTTCAAGCAAACGGGCTGATTTTTTATCAATGATAGAAGCATGTTTGAGCTTTATACCCATAAAGACATATCTAGAGAGATCCTTTGTTAAGTATAACTATTGATATTGATCTTAAAAACAAAATTTTACTTTTTCACAGATAGGAAAAAAAACAATATACTTAACAAAGGATCTCTCTAGACATGTGTTTATGGATATAAAGCTTGAGCATGCTTCTATCATTGATTAAAAAAAATCAGCCCATTTGCTCGAAGTTGTAATGGAGATCTTCAATTTTTTTTCGGTAAAGTGACTTTTGGCCCATCCTATATTTATCTTTTTAATGACGTGGTACTATTAGTATAAATATGGAAAGAATCATGATGATAAATGGACACTTTTTTTGCACGTTTTATGCATAAGGTCGTTTTTGTTGTAGTTCAGTGTAAATATCAATTTGTTTGTAAGAACATATATTCTGATGACTGAATCTATGTTTTTCTTGTTGCTCAGACTTCTCAATCATAAAGATACTGTAATTAGATACAAGGTGTAAAGACACTTCATGAAGCTCAATAATATATACTCATCAGGGAATTTTTTCGAATGAATTTGAAAGTTCTTCATCTGAAGTTTATTAATAGATAGAATTCGTTGAAAGCAGAAAGATTCCGCAATGATTGACTCGCAGCTAAGTAGGTACCAAAGAGACTACAGTCTTCTAAAAATTTCAATTCATAAAAGTGTGCCCTGTCGCAGCCGGTAGCTTCTTTAGACAGCTCATATTCCGACCTCATTTGATAAAGCTGATATTATTAGAAACCTAATAACTAATAAGAAACGTAACCATTTTAACCGAAACTAGCATAGTCTTCAAATTACTATGATACGTAGATCTGATTATCTTACTTATTTTGACGCTATCGTTTAGTGGCATTTTCTCGTTGACGTCCGCTAATTTTTGGCGCCATTGTACACTCTCTTCATAGTCACCTTGCTGAGAGGCAATGTTAGCAAGATCATCATACCCAATAAGAAGTAAAGGATCATTGTCTGAAAGTTCGTTCACACAACGAATGTAGTAATTTTTAGCCAGATCCAATTTGCCCATCATCCATAACACTTTGCCCAACATGCACAGATTTGTCTCTCCGGTGCCATTTTGTTTCTTCATGTATCCAAGAACCTGTTTCAAACTGTGTTCGTCATCACCACATAAAGACATTTCAATGATCCAGACTTGATCGTCATCACGAATAATAGAATGAAGACGAAAAATAGAACCAAGCATAAAGAGTACCTCTGACTCATCAGCAAAGTGGCTAAGCATGCTGATGTCAGCAAATGGTTTCGTCGTGACTACTTTAGGATCAGCAACGATCTCGAAAAGAACTCGTTCGAAATTGATCTGTTGAGTTCTATCACCCATATAGAAGTCAGCTATTTCTCGTTGATTACTAGTAGAAAGAAATGAATTCACAGAAACAAATTGGCCGATACTTTTTTGAAGATATTCTAATTCATCACTTGACATCAATTGGCTTCGATAAACTCGAACAGGGGACTTAGATTGATAATGCTGCAACTGACGATATATGTCGGTAATGAAACGACGATACAAAAAGATCATATGAATATTTTGCTTGCGTAGAGCAGCATTCAGAGTCTTATAGAAGAATGAATCACAAGTGTACCACCACAAAGCCTTATCGGGTGAATAATCCTTTTCGAATTTATCAAGACGATTGAGCTCGAGTTGATTGCCTTCATATTCTTTCTCACAACAAGCGATAAATTCATTTTTATCCATCTCATTGGACTTTAATCGGAGAAGACAGTCGATAAGTAGTTGAGAAAAAACAAATTGGCCATTGATTCCTGTTGTTGACTTGCCTGCGTCACTAGTCGTGTTGAACGTGTTAATCCACAATGGTTCTTCGATTTTCCTTCGACTTATATGATCTTCATGGATTTGAGATACCAATTCGTCGACTTCAACATTGACACCCTTCAACTAAAATGACGATACAACATGACTAAAACTTGTCAGAACAATCTTACCTTTGCGAACTCACATGCCCACTTTTCATCGTTCTCCTTGTCCTCGGAATTGATGTAAATTGCTGAGACTTGTCGAAGTTGATGAATGGAAGGCACTATTTGTCGACTCAATTGACCACTAACAAGGAGGACCAATCGATTGTCTTTTGACGTTTGTTCTATGTAGTTTTTGCACTCTTCTACATCATGAAATTTTATGATACGATTGATAATAGCACTCAGTTTTTCTTCTATATTTCGATTCTTTTCGGCATCGACATTTGCGTCAAGCCAAATAAGACTGAATATTTCAAGATGATTGTCTTCACTGCTGGAAAAATACTTCCCATGTAGCGTAGCATTCGTGGCCATCTTGATAGAAACAATGAAATCGTAGCTCTCCTAAAATATCTTATGCATCTAAAAAGGAAAACTAAGAAACATAGAGATAGTTATTATACAATAGTTGATTGAACCTATCCGTCGTTCAATTGAAATCATCAATGCATTATAGTCAGATAGAAAAATAACAGCAGAAAAATAGTTCAGATCCAAGACTAAAATGAACTTATCCCGTCACACTTATCGATTCATTACGACAGAGAGAAATGAAAAAGAAGAGATAGTTAAAAATTAACGTTATCGATAGCTGCCGGGCGTGAACGTTACTTTTTTTGTACAGTCATTCTGTTATATCTACATGTATTTTCTAATGTTGTTTCGCTCAACGGAATGTCATGAGACGATATGTAACTAAGACTAACATCGTCCTTTGTGATTGGGTTAATCTACAAGAAGCACGGTAAAGAGAAGAGAACTATCGCATTGTGAATCAAGAGCGTTTAGGACGATTTTGACTTTTTCGAATAGATAAAAATTGTTAGAAAGCCAAAAAATAGTTTAGATGATTTTCCAATGACTATATTTGATCGTTCAGTCCAGAATGGGAAGATGATAGACAATTTAATTATAATAATTGAAAAAAAAGACGATATTTTGTAAAACGGGAAGAGATAGTATATACCGTAACTGAGGTATATAATGGGAAACTACTCTCACGACTGAGACAAATCCATTTGATCTTAAACAGAAAATCAGATTCAGCAACTTGCAAACAGAGGTGATTTTCTTCTATTTTGAAGGAAGAAGCCAAAGATCAGCGCCATAGACGGAAAAAGAAGAAGAGAAAATTAGACAACAAAACAGAAGGTACAAGCATACGAAGATACAATTAGATTACTACATCATTTTATATGCGGTCATGCTAACGATGGTTTGGACATCTAATGAAGCAGACCAGTCAAAAAAAAATGATGTCATCAATAGTGATTGGTAGAAATATACAGAGATCATCATTGGCAAATGCCTGAGTCAGAAATCAAAGCAGACTAACGAGGAAAGTTTCGTAAGTGGTGACTGGCTTTTTCCTCGAGACATACATGACTGTATGTAGTTCATTGCTCTGATTCCGAATATTAGAGTTTTAGCGGTCTATATACCTTTCTAGATTCTATACCACAACCACCAATTGTTATGGCATATACTATAGATGTGCCATAAGAGAGAGTTGTTTTGTATTATACATATCTGTTAGTTCTCTTTCTTTCCTTTCGTGCATATATAAAGGGTGTCCCATAATAACTGTCTATGCTTTGTTCACAATATTTTTTATACTTTCTTTCGACGGAGAGAGCTGACATTTTTATCACATATACATTGAACGAGGATCTTTTTAGTCCTGAAAGTTTCAACTCTCTAGCTTTAACTAGTGATGAAATACATCGACAACATTGAAGTACATAGATTTTCCTACTACTAGGTGGATAAAAATGTTATTCCAGGAGAGTGGTAACGCTATGATTTCAAATAGAAGACATAATGAATTTTCTATCAAATGACAGCTCATCAAAAATGGGGTTTATTGATACTAAATAGTGAGGGTTACAAAAACTTTTTAATATTGAACGTAAGAAACTTTCAGAAATTTTATACTTTTTTTGAGGTGAGAAAGT